AAGCTCCTCCCAATGAGGCATGGTCAATGGCACAATCCTTTGTCTTCCGTTTCTCCATTCTGTCAGGATTTGGAGTGCACACACATGCATCTGGTATGATTTTTAAGCCTCCAGGGCCAAGATTCAACTGACAGTTGGCCATGTGGGATCTGGCTCCCTTAATAACTGGGCCACAAGGGCTGGCCCCACAAGGTTTTAACACTGAGGGAAAGCATTGCTGGTTGTCTTACTCAGTTATTGTGTGACTTATGAAAGTACCTGAGATTGGTCAATTGTAAAGAATAGAGATTTATTTGACTCATGATTCTAGTGGCTAAAATGTCCACAGGCATGAGGCTGTCATTAGGCCAACTACAATGTGGCAGAGGGCAGAAGATGGGGTTTTAAGCAGTGTGACTGTTTATGTTTCTGCCTGTTCTGGTCTCCTTTCTTTCTTACAAACCCACCAGAACTTGAACTTAGGGCCCCATCCTCACGACCTTATCATACCCAAAGGCCCCACCCTGGACTACCATGAAAGTTAAGTTTTCACTTAACACTTTTACAATACATCCAAATTCCAACACACAATTTTGGGGGGAGGGGTTGGGGGCATCCAAACCATAGCAGTAGTGACTTAATTTTTTTTCTTTAAGCTTATTTATATTTTATAAACCAACATAAAAGATATATGACATGCACAAATCCCTAGCTATACCAGTGCCCTATTTAGATTTTAGTCATGTAAGAGTCTTCAAAAGTATTGTGAGGGGACTAGCAGATGGCATAATGATTACATCACTAGATTTCCACATAGTTGACTGTAGTTCAAGTCCTGGACCCAGTGGCTTAAAACTCATGCCAGGTGTGTGTGTGTGTCTGTCCAAAATCCCAAGATGAGAAGGGAGCAGAAGGGATTGTGGTGTGCTCATCTCCCTGGGGGGAGGGAGTGATTTCTTGTCTTCTTTATCTCTGTCTCTGTCTCTATGGTGAGCACATGCACTCTATAGCAAAAGTCTCTTTAAAGAAAAACAATGTTGTGAGAAAACTACACAAGGATTTCAATTTGTACCAAAATAAACTCATATTTCAATTTCAGTTTTACATGAAATATTTGAAATCCCTTCATATAAGTAATGTACTTTGTACACTTAATTTTAGAATGTTCAGATGAGGGATATTCAAAAATTTCATGGAAAATATATATCATGAAAAACTCAGCATGAATTTTAAACATTTTTTTGCACTAAAATGTTTATACTTTCCTTCCATTTTTCCATGCACTTTTTGAAGTCCCTTCACAGATTCCTGGATTGATGCAGCTCTGGTCATACCTGATCAGAAACTGTTTTGGTCAAACTCCCAGAAGATGCTTATGCTCAGTAGCAGCAAGACAGTAGGCTCTAAAATCCCATGTTCTTGCCTCTACATGAAAGACTTTATGTAAAACATCTTCCTCACGGCCAGCAGGTGGCGTGGTGGTTAAGGTGTTGGACTCCCTCATGGCAGAAAGTCCCTAATCTTGTGGCTTGCCTTCTCACTTTCTCTCCTTCTCTCTTTCTCTGGTAAGCACATGTCTTTTTTCATGTGCCCACTAACAAGTATGTATGTATTTTTGAATGAATGAGTAAATCCAATCCAATCAATCAAACAAACCTCTCCCTTGGTTGTGTACAAGTGGCTTCCCTGCACACCCCAAGGATTGCCACCATCCCCTGCTCACTTGCACAAGTGCCAAACTGCTGGTGAGGCAAACGCTGAGGTTGCAGCTGCTTCTTGGCTCACAGTTACTTGAGATTCCCCCTCCACTGCCCTCTCCTCCAGTTTTCCTCAGTGTCACGACAGAACTTTGTCTGTAATTACAAACCTCTTTTGTCAATATGACTCGTTCAATGCTTGGGCTGGCTTTTCCATTAATAGAAACATGAAAGCTTTTGTATTAATTATAATGGAAATGAGTGAGTGTAGATGTTAGCATATCTGGCCAATGAGCACAATTTTTGAACTGTTTTGACTTGTGTAGCTAGAGATTGCTTTTCTAATACCCAGTGAAAGTTTGTTTTTTTTTTTTTTTTGAAAAAATTATGAAATTAGAAAAAGGCAAGGGTCTGTGTTTAGAGGTGCTGCTGACAGCGGAGCAGAAAGTGTGACAAGAAACAAGGAACAGATTACTTACAGAATGAGATCCTGGAGGTGAGGTAAGAAAGGGTCACAGGCTTGGGGAATCCTCTGATCTTAAAAGGACCTACTCTCACCCTGATCCTAATAGGAGAGATCTTTATTTATCTCTGTTCCAGATAGTAAGACTCATCCTCATTTCTGATCCACCTTTCTGAACTCCAAGCCTTGGTCACTCAGGAATCCAATCTGAATCCTAACTTTCTGTCAGGGTTTTATTATTATTATTATTTTATTATTGGTTTGTTTGTCTGTTTTTTAGAATTCTTTGCCACAGGAATCTTTGTGTCCAGAGGAGAATGAGGGAAAGTGAGAAATCATCTCCTGTGGGGATGGCCACACCACAATTCCTTCTCCTTCATTCTCCCCTCAGAATTTTAAACATGCACACACACACATGCCTGGTGTGTTTTTCAGGCTGTTGGGTCAGGGACTTGAATCACAGATTCAGCCATATAGGATTTAGCACTTAACCACCATGCCATTCATGACCTTCTGTCTCTGGGCCTTAACTCTTCCTCCCTGCTGGGCTTCTGAAGCATTCCCTGTAGTTTCCTCACAGAACCTGACCCACAGTTCCTAAAGTTGGAAGGGACCTCACCTGTATTTCAGGGTTGCTGTGAGGCATGAAATGACTACAGAACACAGTTACAGGTGTAAGGAATATATCCTGTAGTTGCAAAGTTCCACTCAAGAGCGCAGGATTATTGCAATTGGAAGTGAAAGAAGAACTGGGGAGGATGTAGGCTCTGTGTCCAAGAGCCCAATTTCTAACTGGGGATTCTATGGCCAATTATCTATCTAATCTATCTATCTATCTATCTATCTATCTATCTATCTATCTATCTATCTATCTATTTATCTATCATCTATTTATATATCATCAATCACCTATCTATCATCAATCATCTACATAGCATCTATCTACATAGCATCTCTCTATCTATCTAATCTATCTATCATCTATCAATTTATCTATCATCAATCATCTATCTACCTATCATCAATCATCCATCTAGCATCTGTCTATCTAGCATCTATCTCTCTATCTATCATCTATCTATCTATTATAAAGCAAAAATTAGTTTCATTTTTCAACAGAGAACTTCACATTCTTCTGTCTGTTAAATGTTTCTCCCCTCTGTCCCTCCCAC